AAATATTAGTGCACATGCCCAACATTTCGTCGCTTATTCTTGCTTTGGTACCACAACGCCACTTACAGGCCTGGCATACATTTTGCAGCGTTTTCATGCATTCGTGTGGACGATCACATTTATTTTACGTCTCCGTCTTTACGGCAAACGTTCTGGAAAATATTAGCGTTTTGTGTTCGTTTTGACTTCGTGTGGACGGGGCCTTAGACCCGGTCCTGCCAAGACCCCAGACTGGCTTACGGCCATATTTTCCTTAGAACACCCAATCTCATCTGATCCAAGAAGCTACAGAGACACTTTGAACAGATCATCCAGTCAGATTGGTGAAAAGTTTTCTATCTATGGAAACCAGTTGATTCCGTCGACTCATTGACTCTGCAGGACACGCTCCTCCTGGATGAACATGTTGCAGTATGACCAGACTTTCCCTTTTATGCTGCAGCTGGTGAAGTTCTGAATGTTCCTCAACATAATCTAAGAGCCTTGGTGGTAACATCAGGTACCAATCTAATGTTAATGCATTAGAGCTTGATAAATATTCAGTATTGATGCTGTTTTCCCCTTTTTCCTTCCTACAAAACAATGTAATCTATTATTTCTAATCTTGTATTTCTTGTTCAACTTTTCAATATTCTGCTTTCAAGCAAGCTTTTCATTAAAAATCACTCCTAGGAATCACGTTAACGTGTTCAAGATTATCACCATACTTTTTCAAGAATGATGTTTTTCTCCTTTTTAATGTTTTAAAGTTCATTCTTTCTGTAGGGGATGGTACAGAGTTTACTGTGTTTATTCTCTTAGGGTCTCATTTAGTTCTGAGGTCCACATTAGTTCTTAAGGGGAGTGGTGGCCTAGTGGTTAGGTTATTGCACCCTGAGTTCAAGCCCCACTCCCACAGACTGCCACTCTGGGTCCCTGAGCAAGACCCTTAACCCCACACTGCTCCCCGGGCTCTGCACAATGGCAGCCCACTGCCCCCCAAGGGGAGGGGTTAAATGCAGAGGCTGAATTTCATTGCTTTGTACTTGTGACAGTAGAATGACTTAAAGTTTAATTCTATCTTCAGTTTCTCATCTGTTACAGTTTAGTCTCTATGGCGGTTTAAAAGGAGATGTTTCTGGCGCCCTCATGTGGCAGAAAATAAGTGTTACAATAATGACGAGCACCTTTTGTAAGAAGAAAATGAAAATCTACAACTTAGTAGCAAACTCTTTATACTAATGATAGAATGCAGTCCTTTAGATTGGTTTGAATTTTAATTAAAGAACTAATAGAATACAATAAAAAAGAAAATATATATATATATTTTTTTTTTTTAAGTGGGCATCATCTCACCTAGAGGTATAATTTGTTAGGGTGTATAACAAATAAAGAAAAAAAAAAAACAGAGGAAATCTTTTAATTCAAAACAAAATGAAGAATAAAATCTAATCAAGAAGAAATGTTGTTTTCTAATCCTTTTATATGATTGTTTGAGATGGATTCTTAGGATTTTCTTAAAAGGAGAAATCAGCTTAATGCTTTCTAAAATATTCCTTTTACAACAAAATGTAATCATTAAATGCCAAAAAAGCATAAAAAGCAAAACATTAAATGACGAGCTCAAAACAAAGGGTTTTAGAAAGCTGTGATGATCTTAACTGTTTTTCTATATTTAACATCAGATAGTATCATTCAAACTCTTCAATAAACTTTCAAAAGATTGTGTATTACTCTTTTCTTTCTACTTTGGCATAGAGGGTATAATATCTGGAATAACATTATTTATGGCATCAGAGAAAGCACTACTTATCTGTAAAATAGATATTAAACAACAATTTAAACCAAA